AAGAGATAGACGGAGAGGGAAGGAAGGAGAGAGAGACAGAGAAAAAGAGAAACAGACATACAGAGAAACAGACAGAGACAGAGGCATCGAGAGCCAGGGACCGAGAGTCAAAGACAGTGTGTGGGTGGGTGTCGGAGGGAAGGAGATCAGATATGAACATATTTAATTTTTTTTTTTAAAAGACTGTTACTAGTCTCATTTAAAGATCACATCTTACCTCATGCAGGTCTGGTGACTCATCCTTTGGTGATCGCGAGATCGTTCTCTGCGGGGAAGAAAATAACGAAATTCACATTCAGCATTCGGCCTTAAAAGGGAGAATGGAAATGATAGTTTGCCGATGACCGTGTGACGTCAACTCAGCTGTATGCAGAACTTGAGTGTTCCTCCTAAGGAACTAGGTATCTTGTTCCACCTGCCCAGGATGATGATGTTACGATCCAGCATGCGCAAGCGCAAACTTTCCAATTTGGCCTCTCCGAGCAACTTCGTGGCTTGGCAGTAACCGACAAAGCAGAGAAAGATGATGCTGAAATCTGTAGGAGCAAACACAGCCAGAAGGCAGCACTTGGTCTATAGCACCATGCATGTGACAAGCAGATGAGCGGTTTTTGAGTAAAGCTGGTCTCTTCGAGTAAAATGATTCTCACATAATCCAGACATTTTGAACCAAAAATAGGCGTTTGTATGAAGCTGGCTTCTGAAACCATGATTACCGCAAGTAGTACATGCACAGACAATCACCGTCAGAGATAAGCGTCCTTGCCAACCAGGTGGTGCTACGCCCTTGTTTGAAGTTCGTGCCAACCAGGTGGTGCTACGCCCTTGTTTGAAGTTCGTGCCAACCAGGTGGTGATTCGCCCTTGTTTGAAGTTCGTGCCAACCAGGTGGTGAATCGCCCTTGTTTGAAGTGTAGCACTGTTAAAAATCACGTACTGGAAGAGTAACAATGATTCATGACCTCATCGTCACTTCACATGACAGCATAGTTACAACTTATTACACCATAGTAAGATACAAACAAACAAAAGTACATGCCTGATAGTTGGGTCCCCAACATGGACAAAGGAAAGCCCCAGCTCAAATACCCACGGTCATGTAACACTCAGTAGGATTGAATTATACACATCCCTCAGAATTGCAGCAAGCTGTATGATCAACACAAAAACCGTTCTGGCGCGATTAGAGCCCTCTCTCGAATAGTGCCCCTGTCTCCAAGTGTCAGTGAAAATATAAAGCCCTCTCCTGAATAGCCCCCCTCCTCCCCCTCCCTGGGCTTTTAACCAACCGCAGGTACATCTGTGATGGACATTGCAAAAAAATAGTCCCCCCCCTTCCCCTCCCCCAGGGGCACTCATCGTGAGAGTACGGTATGCAGCTCCTGCTTTGAAATCACACACAAAACAATATTTTAAACTCCGATACTCAGCCAGCAATACATGTAAAAAAAGAGAAGAAAACACATGAGAACGAGTTATGCAGCAACTATCCTATTATCGCACGTTTATCATCTTGTTACAGTCCCACATCGTTGCTGCATAACTCGTTCTCATCTGTTTTCTTCTCTTTTCTAAAAGAAAAACAGATGCACCTTTCAGAGCCTCAATGTTGGCAGTGAGCGCATGCTCATCAGCATCATACCAGTCGAGCAAAATGGCAGCCGTGATGCAGCCACTCTCCGTGAGGGAACACACGTCATTCACCTGCTCCACCTTGCCTCCATGGTGAGCCTGCAAGGTGACACTGGTCTTGATGGAACCTTCGGGTACGTGGTCCTGGAAGCTTCTTGCCTGAACACCAACGCAAACATCAATACCCAAAGACATGTGGAAACACACATGATGTACACAGCCCAAGACATGTGGAAACACACATGATGTACACAGCCTAAGACATGTGGAAACACATATGATGTACACAGCCCAAGACATGTGGAAACACACATGATGTACACAGCCCAAGACATGTGGAAACACATATGATGTACACAGCCCAAGACATGTGGAAACACATATGATGTACACAGCCCGAGACATGTGGAAACACATATGATGTATACAGCCCAAGACATGTGGAAACACATATGATGTATACAGCCCAAGACATGTGGAAACACATATGATGTACACAGCCCGAGACATGTGGAAACACATATGATGTACACAGCCCAAGACATGTAAAGTAAAGAAAAGTTCACACGTCCGCGTTACCACCGGCTATACAATTGTATTGAGAACACACAGCCAGCTTAGAGCATGTGCACGGACAAGAGCATGAAACACGCAAAGAAACAACCACATGCGCACATACTTGCAGATGCACACACACGTACACGCACACACACGTACCCCCCCCCCCCCCCCACATACACACGCCTGCCCCCCCCCCCCCCCCACCCACACACGCCCCCCCCCCCCCACCCACACACGCCCCCCCACATACACACGCCCCCCCCCCCCCGCCACCCATACAACGGGCAAGGCACACACTTGTACGTACCATGTTCTGTGATCCGGTCATGTTCAGAACGTGGAAATGGACATTTGGTGTGCTCTGATCGGGGATTTCCCTTGGAGCCTCCGCCATGTTGATTTTTACCCAACCATCTTGGTGCACCTTGTCATCAGTCACATGCCCCGTGCTGCTTTCAGTTTCGAACATTCCTGCATCACGCCGTTCATTGTCGCTAGTTGTTTCGACCATATCGGTTTGAGATATGACGGTTTCAGAATCCTCAGGTGTGTTGTCGTAAGTCGTTTGCACAGTGCCAGTTGGGGTCACAGAGATTTCTGCACCTTGGTGTCCATTGGCGATAGGAACGTCCGCCATGGCGCTACGAGATTGGACATGCTACGTATTCGCCAGCGCAGTATTGGCCACTGATTGGCTCGTGCTACCTTGCAATGCGGCGCTTTCAGTGTCTTCGTGGACATCACCGTCCATATCCTGCACTCTGTCGCTCTGAGACTCGGGATCTCTGGCATTCTGACGTGAGTGGTCGCGTAGAGTAGTCGGATACGGATCATCTTCCTCCCCCACGAGTAAATTGTACTTGAGATGGCTGACCTTACCACACTAAAATACCTTTCGACGCCCCGGGTACAAACTATGAGATATGAGTGTGCTCATGGATAACGGTGTGTTAAATGTGGTATCCAGATAGTAGCGCTTATGCGCAGTTTGCACCTGAAATGTAGCATGCATCCAGCAAACTTTACTGCAGCACGGATGGTGCAAGAAGCTATCCAAGAGTGCGGAATTTCGGCCATTTAAGACTGCTCACCTGCTTGGGTCTCCTTTAGCGCTGTGAAGACGGGCTTGAGTGTGTTACTCTGCCGGCTTATATCATGCGTGATTGCAAGGCGATTCGAGTCGTCCAGGCTCAAGCAGCCGTAGATGGCGGAGTGCTTGCCACGGTTCTCTTCGATCGCTCTGCCGACGTCACTGGCAACACGCTGAATGTCCTGCACGGACCACATGCCATCGAAGCGACGCCATGTCACAGCCACAGTGCACTTGCTTTCCAACTCCTCCAGCACTGCCTGCACTCTGGCCCATGACTGCAGGGAGCAAGACAGTGTACAGAGTGGCAGATAAACAGGGTGAGGGGGCAGTGAGAAAGAATTGACGTATTTTCCCGAGCATAAGCCGCACCTCCACTTTTTGCCACGAAATACGGACATCTAACCTACATGTATTTATCACTGTTAATTTGATCATCGGGGTGTAAGCCGTACCCCTCCTTTTTTGGTTGAGTTCTGAGTGTTCAAAGTGCTGCTTACAATCCGTAAAATACTGTACTTAGAAAAGAGGAGATTCGCAAGCCTGCGTACATGTACCTGGACACGAAGACCGGTGCAATTCTGATGCGGGCTGATGCACCAGCACTTGTACTTCAGAACATTCCTCAAATAAATGCAAGGTGATACTGTCAGTAAGGGAATACTTAATGAAGACAACATGGAGAACTTTACTAAGCTGAGGTGGTTTTATCATCAGTGCCTCATCACTGCATGATCATCATAACATCGTCACTTGAGATGAACTGCTAGGCCAGGCAAAGCACTAGCGTTCTACTTCTAGTGTTGGCTTGCCATGCACAACTAGCCCTGTTTGCATGGTGTTGCTGAACAAAAGCATCATGCACAACTATCCCTGTTTGCATGGTGTTGCTGAACAATAGCATCATGCACAACTAGCCCTGTTTGCATGGTGTTGCTGAACAATAGCATCATTTTACCATTCAGATTTCAATACAAACTAGGACTGATTGTTACTCCATGCATTATGTACAATACATACATGTACGCGGCGACCTCACTCCCACAATGCCTATACACAAAACAATAATCTGCTGATAGTGCATCATTGAATATCTGCACTTTTTGAATGGAGCCTAGATAGCCTGAAAATGTCCGCTGCACCTGTCTGTACAATTTATACATGACGATTGTGCACTGAACAACAAGGAGCAAGGCCATTTTGTTGCAACTCTGTGCTTCATGCTATGCAATCATGTGAGTACTCGCAGCACACACTGGGTGAATACCTGGTACCCCGGCCAGGTGGACATGACTTTGTATGCAGCCAGTATGCACGAAACATTTCTTTCATGATGGTGAACGTTTCCTGATCGGTCAAATGAATGTTCCCGGCCAAAAAAATTCACAGCGTCTACTCAAATTTTTCAGTAGACAAATAGTTCTCCGGTTTCTCCGGTAAGCTATAAGCACTCGGTAATGTCCCTTCAGTAGGATGTAGGGTACTCCGCAGTCCCCACTTACTTCATCGTTTCCTGACTGGCTCCAATAGGAGCAGAAGTAGTTTGCGTGAATGACCAAGACGCTGCGCGCTGGTACGATGCCTCCGCCATCGTCTGCGGCGCCTAAGCGTAAGGGAGGCTGCAGGTAGGCCTCCGCGGAATATGCCGGCATAATTTCGGGAATTATCGGTGTGATTTTTAAAACGGGAATTATTGGCAATTTTTGTGGAATAATCGGTAAAATTTGAGCAATGCCCCCCTTTTTTTCATTTTTTTCCATTTTAACACCCTGATTTGTACCAAAAAGCTTGTGATCCTGAATGAGTTGATCGCCCGGTATTTCAAAAGAGAAAGAAAAAAAAGCTTCCAGCCGAGTTTCACGCGAACCGTGATTTTTTGCCCGTACAAGTGGCAAAAAACCCGTAAGCGGTACGGTATCTGCAAAAAAGGGAAGAAAAAAAGCATTATTGTGAGAATTATTGGTGGAATTACGGGAATTATCGGACGTAATTTTGAGCAATGCTCAAAGGAATTATCGGTAAAAATACGAGCATATTCCGCGGAGGCCTGGCTCATTCCCAACCTGATCGCTGGGCTGCGGACATTCGGCCATTATCTTATGTTGCCTTCTGAAACGAGGGGAAGAGCAGTCTAGCCCAAAGCGGAAGTTGGCAGCATGGGTAAGCAGTGTAGCAAGCGCTCCGGGGACTCGCACACACTATTAGTATTACTGTCTTGTATTGTATTCGAGTGTTGTACATCTACTCCCGAGTCGGAGCGAACTGTGCGCTGTTGTGAGTGTTGACACCGAAACATTTCAAAGCATTTCCGTTCGCGGAAAACGAGCCGGAGCGCAACTGCTCTGTGTCACCACTAGCACTGTCACTGACCAGGGAGTAGTATTTTACTACTCCCTGGTTGTCGCATTCACACTCACACTCACAGCGTCAATTCAGCACTACGTAAGTCTTGTACATTGTATTTGTGGTACAACGACAGCCTGTAGACTCTACAGGGTTTCATTCAGCAGTCCTGTACTATTATGAAGACCGTGACATTGGTGCATGCTATGCGAGTTCCAGGCCAGTGACCGTTCAGTTAGTCGTGAAATCTCGGCGTGCTACAAGTGCTGGATTAGAACTTAGAAGTTGGCACCAAGACCAGAGTAGGACAGGCCATCATCCCCCCGCCCCCACCCCCCCCCCCTCCGCCCCCCCCCCCGCCCCCCCCAATCCAGCGCAGTGCGAATTTACCATGAAACCAGGCAGCGGCTGGGATAGAACAGTACTTTCCACTCCAGTCTTCAAAGAAGCAAAGGCCATTGCCAAGCCCCCACATCGCCACTGCTATTATTTTTTGAAAAAGGAGAAAGTCCGGGGAAAGTGACCAGCAGAAGATCAGGATTTTTAAAAGTCTTCCACAGGAGTGGCCATACAATGTATTACAGTTCTGTGTGTGTACATGTCACGTATATACGTGTCTACAGCATTGGGTACATGTACATGTATAATTTATATACATGTCACGTATATACATGTGCATGTACATGTCACGTACATACATATACTTGTAAGTGGGTACACAAAAATTAGTAAAAGTGGAAATGAGAAGCGGATAGCGGAAAGCGGAAATTGCACGTGAATGCGTTCGGCAAATCCTTAGCAAAACGCAGCAAGCAAAACAGGAAGAACCGAAACAAATTTGAAAGACGAGAAACAGAGGGAAACAGCGGAGAAATGCCATACCAAAAGTGCATAGATTCGAAGTGAAATTGCGCGAAAACGGTCTAAACAATTTTACTAACACGCCATCGTGAACAGAGAAAGGTACAGGTGAGGTGCAGTAAATAAAGTCGAATTACTATCTCACTGTCTGTAGAAAAGAAAAGAAGAAAAAAACCCAAGCGGCAACTGTCATCAATATGAAACAAAAATAGCATACTTGAGATAGGTTCATGCCTTCGTGGCGGTAATTACACATTTCTACAGGGTTTGGGGTAAATTGGTACGAATACACATGCAAAAAGTGCTGAAAAAGGAATCCCATCCAATACCAGCTATTTGGTAAGACTTAAAAAAGACAACTGCAGGAAAGTGGACGGCTCTAATGACGATTCTTGCATGAATTTACATTTCTTTATATGCCGAAGAAGCTCCGGACTTGGACATGCCCTCCACAGCCACCTTGAGAGCAGTGCGGATTTTAAGAGGAATGCTGGAGCCCTCGGCAAGAAAATCCGACATGTCGTCATAGCAGGCACGTAGCCCTGCGAAGTTGAACACGTCGCGTTCGGCGAACATCTCGGCGATCTGGAAGATGAAGATGAGGTCTGCCTTTCGCCACTGGTTCCACTTGTTCTGCTGTGCCAGAAACGTGCGGATGTGTGTGTCGGGGTGAATACCTGAAAGAAATCCAACCAGTAAACGCAGCACACTCTATCATCGTAGCACTGGTGCCAATAGACGTGGCTGAAACAAGTCTATGAATACATTTTGTTTACCGGGTGTTAGCGGCCGTCATGAGTGCCCTTCGGGAACGGACACGATGATTTACTTTTTACTTACTTCGAAGTACATACATGTTCCATTCTTATACTCTTGTTCTATTGTTTTTTGTTGTCGTTTTATTATTCACTATACCTAACTCGAGCAATGGAACTGCGACTAGGACAAACGACAAGGACAAACGTGACAGCTACTGAGTAAGGGTATCTTTCTGTCGCCTGGTTCAATGTCGTTATTCGCATAGTTGAATTTTTTGATACAGCCACTGGTCGTGAGGACTCAAAAGGGCCCCTCACTTATAGACAGCAATGCTCTGACCACTGAGCTACGGTATAATCGTCATCCCAGCAGTGGTTGTGCAGGATAAATGGCATTGCTTAGTGCATGTTGATTCACACCTTAAACGGTCACTTGACACAGCCCTATGAAGGCTGCAGGCGCATGACAAGCGCATTTCAAGATACATAATATGTGTGAGAAGACATTGAACACAAATGTCTTCATTGAAAACGATTGGCCAAAGAACCCAGTACCCCTGACAGCACATCATTGCTAAATCCAGGAGAAGAGTTTTGGCCTATGGTTAAATCCTAGTGTGGGTAGGAATTAAGTTGGTAAATCCGACATGTCCAGTTTCCCTGTTGTACTAAAGAAAAAATCAGGGTGACCACTTAGGCAAACAACCTACTTAACTAAGTCCTCACCTTCACGGCTGTCTGAGGAATGGGGAGCATCCTCCGCCTTGATCTTGGCCTCTGCAATGCGATCTTCGAGCTTCACTTCACAACGGCCCACCATCGTCCACAGGAACTTGAGGGCACGGATCTCCTCTACATAGTTGGCCTTTTGCGGGTAGCGTACACCTTGCAGGGCTGCAAAGTAATGAGAAGGAATACACCCATTTCAAACTGCAACCGACTGTTGGTAGTGAAGCACTGCTTTAACAATAGCCTCAGTCCTGATACAGAAAGTTTGCTTCCGGGCCATTCGTGTACACGTAGAGGCTGGGTCAGCTTTAAACAGACTTTTTTAGAGGCCATTTAAAACCCACAGCAGGTTTCCTGAGCACTAAAAGCACAGTGAGAAAAGAAATGTAAAAGCGATACGGCTAAAAATTAGACTTGCCAGACCACACCTGGACGGACACCTAGCAGAAGCCTGCGTGCCGAGTGCTATACACCTGGGAAAGTCTTTTCTACAGCCCAGGAAAATCAGATCCAATAAAATTCTCGGAAAGCAGTGGCAAGCCTGCTGTGTCCGCATGTTTGGACTGCTCTCAACTGCTAGCTTTGTGTATGAGATGTCAGTTTTCAGGGCTTGTCACATGACTGTAAATGCATGCACAACAACGGAATAAAGGTGGTAAGGAAGGCAAAGATGCCGACACAGCCAATGCCAAAGAACGTTCAGTGGAGCAGGCAAGGGACAGGTCCTTTTCTCATCGATAAACCTGACTGAAAATACCTCAATTCATTCAGCCAGAAAGATGACCATGGCTGTATCTTTAGGTTAGTCAGTGCTACTCAATACCGTGTGAGTGCATCATCCTCTACGGAGTCGTACCTTTGATTGGCGAGTAGGTCTCGTAGTTCTCCAGAACAATGACAAAGTCGTCATTGTCCGGTGCGTTTAAGACCCGCTTGGCGAAACCCTCCAGTTGGGCACGGGGATGCTCCTCATCCAGGTGATCACCTCCTGTGACAATGCAGCCAGTGGTATAGCCTGAAGGTATCAGAAAGACCAGTAGAGTATGCCATATTTAGGTCAGGGAGGACACAGACCAGGTGCACAGCTCGTACATCTGTAGTGTAGTGACCTTATCCCAGAACCACATCTATGGTATGGTGACCTTGTCCCAGAACCACATTTTTCCCTTGAGCGGGTTTATTGTTATTAGGCAATTGTCTGTTATAGTCACCACTATAAATAAATCTAATCCAATCCAACATCTATGGTGAGGTGACCTTGTCCCAGAACCACATCTGACTTTGTTCCAGAACCACATCTGTGGTGACCATGACCATGCACCATTGGCTACCTCATGGCCGCCATTTTGTCTATGTAATAGCGTTAATGGCTGCAACCTATCTCCAATGATGCTTGATCAGCAGCCTGGACAGATTTATATCTAATAATGATATCACTGGCTTTCCTACTACATGTATTTGTTATGCGGCTAGCCTTGTACTAGCTCTATACCAGTGTTGTGTCAAGCGTAAACAAAGCAATCTTATAGACTGGCCTAACTTAACTGGCGAGTTTCAACCCAGTTAGCTCTGCCTCAAAGACAAGGCAAAGTAGCTTGCACAAACCTTTTCTGTGTAGGTACGGCCATATTTCTGCGTAGCGGTCACTGAGCATCCGCCTCTTTTCACTATCGATCAGCATGTTGAACGGAAGAACAAACACAACGGCCAGGCATTTCTTGAAGAGGTCATGGAAAGCGCGTAGAGTAGTCGGATACGGATCATCTTCCTCTTCCACTCCGTGTTTGTCTGGGTCGAGTTTCTCCCCGGCAAGCACATTGCCGTTGAGGACGCTGATCAGTGTGTTCATTATTGTGCTGGTGTTTGCATACTCCATGGGTGGGCAGTCAAAGGCGCGTATGTAGTTGAGGTCGGTGAGGTGCTCGGTGAAGTACTGCGTTGGCACGCCTGCACGAGCGTCAGTTGGACCCTCAACATCGCGCAGGGCACGCTCAATCAGATGAATCACGGACGTGACTCCCGCACCGCTTGGTCCCGTGAAGAGGATCTTGAGCGGCTCAATGGAGCTTTCGCCATAGCTGCGAATGAGATGTCGCATGGACTTGGGCCCGTACCTCTGGAGTTGAATCCGGAGGGCTTTCAGCTCATCCTTCAATTTAACATTGGCTTGCCGTTGCGCTTGCAACTCCTCACGCCGTGTGGCCTTCATTTTGGCAATCTCGCCAGGGGTCAAGTCCTTGGGCTCCACCCGGATCTCTTTAGCAGTGTATTCAGTACACGGCGCTGTGGTAGTCCGAGGGCGGATTGTGGCTGCAGGTTCAAACAAATAAAAGAAACAGGGAGCAGTAAGTTTTCATAGTGTTCATCCACCGATCTTACTACTTCCCAGTAGCATGTTGGATGCAGTAGTACAAGTAGGACAAGCATGTTTTTTCTAGACTTAAAAATCCGGACCTGGTGTATGTGTGTAAATTAAACAATAATAATATTACTATGTGTTAGTACACAGCTGCCTGTGTGACAGGTAATGCTGGATCGAATACACTGTATGGTTGTAGGCACTCCTCATTTACGTCATGCTCCACTTCGTTGCCTTTTTAAGTTGCTCAACTTGTTCCCTCTTCACAAAGCAAACTTTGTTGATGGCTCTAGAATGAAGAAGCCAATATGAGCTCGTTATGAGAAGACGTTCAAATTGTACGTCTTTGCCAACGTCCAGCGTGTTTTGTTTGTAGTGCATTGACGGAGGACCCAGAATGGGTATCTAGTATAAGCTTGATGCAGTCAATCTCCTGAAATCCGAAAAAGCCTTTTGTAGGGGCAATCGCAGAACAGGATACACTGGCCTGGCACAAAAACTAACGGGAATGCAAAAAGAAAAATTTCATAGTAAAGTAAAAGGACCAAGGAACTACAAGTAACGTTATAATTTATTTTGGCCATGGCTGGCTATAATCACCCTCACCCCCTCCTTGATTGGCCTTGGCCATGAGAACGCCACCAGTTACCAAACAATCAGCTCATGCGATAACATTGCACGACCCTGAACGTCGTTCGTACCTTCGTTCAGTGTCATGCAGTGTTATCGCAAGAGCTGATTGTTTAGTAACTGGTGGCGTTAGTGGACATTATATCGTAACTTGTAGTTCTTAGTTCCTTTTTCTTTTCTATAAATTTATCCTTGGCTCCCCATCAGTTAAAATTTTCAGTTAAAGAAAATAAAAAAAGGAAACTTGACCTCGTGAAAATCGACCTAGGGAAAATATATTGACAACACTTCACAAGTAAGCCCACAATCTTCAGGCCTAGGGACCATTTGATTTTGATTGCATTGTTTTAACCCCATGAATGATGACAGCTCGAGAATAGCTACACTATTCTCATTCAGACGGGAGGGTCGGTATTCGCAAGGTTTGACTGTAGGTGGAGATGCGATAGAGTGCTAGCGACAGGGACAATGATAGAGAGATGGATGGATAGGTGTGAAAAATGAATGAAGTCAGCTGATGTGCAGTGGAAGACTTACGCATATGGCGTCTGATCTCCTGCTCTTCATATTGCCTCATGCGTTCATCCTGAAGGAAGATAGGCACCATCAGAATGAAGAGAAAGAACTTAAAATACGCCACTGGCCCCAAACTCAGGAGAAGAACAGAAGCCAGCAGGATATCATAAAAGCCTCGCATTACTCACTGCTGAGAATGAGAATTTCAAACATTCTTCCCACCTACTGTGTAAGTACAAATTTTCGTTTGGAATCAACTTTCGCTATATTCGTTAGGGGGCATGAAATAACTAAAGTTTGTACCAGACTAAAGTTTTTTCCAGAACGTTCGGGGTGACAGACCTCGACCGAAAGCAAAATTTAGTACGTAACAAGCCTGCTGGTGGAGTGATCTAACGAAAGATTTCGTGAACGAAAAATTGTACTTCTACAGTGCTTCAGAAGTAGTCCTTCATTCCTGTTGACGCTCTGTGCGGTATGGGCCCCATTGGAGATTGAGAGAAGCGACTTTGCTCAACGCATGGCATTGAGGCGCAATGTAGATACATGTATGCTGACAAGAAGCAGTTTTGCTCGGTCTCACACAGACTCGTACGTTTAGTAACTGTACAAAGAACACCCACCGAACCCATGTCCACACCAGTACGCCGTGTGTGTACTTCGAGTATTCAACTCCATACGGTGCAGCTTGAAGACAAGCCTTCGCTGCCCATACAGCAAGAACAAAACACTAGGATGACTCTAGAAACCGATCAAGACGTGATTCACGCCTAGGGATTAGTCCGTGAGTCGACACCTACGAAATCTTGACACTAATAATTTTTGATAACAGTCTTTTCAATTGACACCCTTGTCAATCAGGAAGTGATTTTTTTGATGACAGCTTTAATTTTGATTTAGAGCCCATCGAACGAGACTGTGCTAAATCGGTGCAGTTGGTAAAGTTTTCCAATGGTTCTCACCACGTACATGTACTAGTACTATAAATTCGCGCCAGTACCATGGAAATCTAGGGGTGTTCTTATCTCACCCTAAGTTTCAGCGCCAACGAAGATCGCTTTCCTGGAGCTCACTGTCCGAAAGTAGCTAGCAGGGCAAGGCGAATACACACGTTACACCCGCACTTCAACCACTAGTGTAGTATACTCTAACTCTAAGCCAGTAAACGGAGTGGAGTCGCAGTAAGGACGGAAGGCCATACCGGTATCCGTGGAAGAACGCACTCACCGCCATGGTCGCTGCGTCGAAAATTGATCCTGTTCTCCTGTAATGTCGTGTATGCGCCGTCGGTCCAGATCAACCTCCAGTCGGTTCACTTCGCCTTTCCCGGCACAGTCATTCAGACACCGGAACACCCGATACACACGAACACCCGATTGCAGTCAGGTCTCACGAACAAGGAGAAGATTCAAGAAGACAACCGGCGGTCGACCGATAAAATTGAGAAGCGATCCAAATAATTGTGGCGAAGTTTCTATTGTTCGCCTTTGTTTTCAATAGGCAGTTCGCTCAAAGGGAGCGGAAAATGAGCGCGCCCCAAGTCGCATGCGCTAAACGTATTGATTCAACAGTCAGTGTACAGCATGCGTGTTGCCTCCAGGAAATACGTTCAGGAAGTCAAATACTTGTGTCGAAACAATTCTTATCTGCGCATGTATGATACTTGATAGGTTCATTCCATGCCCTGCATGCAGTTCGGGAAGAGCAGCATATGTACTCACGCTAGATCAGTGGTCCAGTATCAACGGCAGCGGCCATTGTTGTACTACGCTTCTCAATGAAATACGGAGGCGAGAGTCATTTATTTTTATTTCTATTCTTAATTTTTACTAGTCATACACACCCGGCACTGTCCCTAGACCTGCGAACACTGGGAACACTGCGAACACTGGGATGGGAAATGTTGCAGTAAGATAACTGGACTCATGCGATTTAAAAATTTAATTTCATTGAAGATGGTTTGGAGGGGAAGCTACATCAGTACAATCATGTAAGTGAACATGGATCGTGCCAAACCTAACGCCTCGATGGTATTCGTACAGTAGTCAGTACGTAGACTCTACGTCGAGGTGCGTTGCAATTAATTTTCTTTATCTTATTATTTAAATAATCTACGTGGAGATAAAAGTTTAATAATAGCAATGAAACTTAGTATGAATGCCGCAGACATCACCACGCAACATGACAATTTGTTCAAGGTTTGGTTTTGTGTGTTTCCAAAATCGATTTTCACGTTCCGATCATCAGTGGAAATACGGAACTAAAGAGATCAAGGGAAAAACAAAGGTTAAAATCCAAAGAAGTGTGACACATGACGGGTAACTTGTGGTAAGTATTACAAAAAGTGAGAACCAAAATAAAGAGTAAGTGTGACAAACGGGCATGAACAGTGCAGAAACAACTCATGAACACGCAAACTCACGAAAATAACCTAAGTGCTAAAACATGTTCTTTTTGCTTACACAAATCGGGCTTATGCGTACGAATACAAACAGCTTCAAGGACCTTCAACTGCTGGACATAACGGGCACGACACAGTACAGAGAAGTGGGAATCATCATACACACTCAAACAATCGAGACGAGATAACAAATGCAAGTACACAGCTGACTTCTTACGAATTTCACCCCCATCAGCTCCATCACCTTCCCTGCCACCTGACTCCTCCTCGTCCGTTTTATCACCATCACCACCAGCCGTCTCACCGTCATCCGCCTCGTCTTCATCCGCCGCCTCGTCATCACCCGCCTCGTCGTCATCTGTATCCTCGCCGTCATCCGCCTCGTCGTCATCTGTATTCTCGTCATCCGCCGCATCATCACCCAACTCATATTCACCACCAGTCAGTCGTCTGATACCATCCATGTTCTCTTTCCTACGTCTGTCCCGTGTCACTGTCCTTACCTCATCTACGTCCCGAGATTGTGTTCCGTTTTGCCCCCGGCTTCCGGTCTCCTTCGATGCTCCGCGTGGGCCTTGGCCATTCCTAGCATATATTTCGGTTGAATAATTGGCGGTCGACCTCCGTGGTCTCTGGACCCACGGATCAAGCGCCGGAGGGTGCTGCGGTGTCCGCACAGCCGGATACTGTGTCAAAGAAATGGGCTCAATTTCTGTGATTGGCGGTACTGTCGTTGTTTCCGACTCCTCCCCAACCCCAGCCACCAACGGCACTGGTGGTGGCTCCGGTGGCGGCAAGGGCAACGGTGGAGAAGGCACATTCGGTTGGCTTAGTGATCCACCACTCTTCCTCTGCACCGTGTGTTCGACTTGCTCTGGTTGTGTCGGTGGTAGAGGGAGCGGGTTCTTGCGTGGTCTTCCCCGCTTCGGGCGCTTCGCTTTTGCAGCGTCCGGCAGCATGTGAAGTGGTCACACTTACTCATTATTTTAATTCTCACTTTTTGTAATACTTACCACAAGTTACCCGTCATGTGCCACACTTCTTTGGATTTTTAACCTTTGTTTTTCCCTTGATCTCTTTAGTTCCGTATTTCCACTGATGATCGGAACGTGAAAATCGATTTTGGAAACACACAAAACCAAACCTTGAACAAATTGTCATGTTGCGTGGTGATGTCTGCGGGATTCATACTTTTCATTGCTATTATCTTATTATTTCTTTTCTTTTAATTTCTCCATATGAGTTTCTGTCAGTTGCTGTGAACACCTTGAGTGGAGAGCGCTTGTTCGAGGGTTGAACCGGGTTCTTAATCCACCGTACCCAGTTCGCAAGGCTGGGCGGGGTTGCGAGCAGCCTTTCATTTCATCTTTTCTTATTATTTCTGCTCTTCATCTCATTACAAAAATTATAAATGTAACTTACTCTCTCTCTATCTCTCTCTCTCTCTCTCTAATTTTCCTAAGTTTGTGCTATTCTTCTTACTATTCTTGTATCCTCGTTGTTTCACTCCAAGTGTATAAATCCTATTGTAGTTTCATCATTCTCTTTAGGTCACGAATTCCATTGACAATTGTGACAAGAAATCGTTCTGGAATACATGTACCATATTTGCCCCCATGGTTGTGATATAAGTGCGCATTTAGACAGTAAATATATGTTACATGTACAAAGGTCAAAAAGAATGGTTTCACCAATTATAGAAACATACGTTGTAACGCTGCGTTTCATGCACGTAGCTAAATGCTAAGGCAATCATCAGACAACTAATGCTTTTGTCGCGGGATAGCTTGTTCTTATTGTGGGGGATACGCATGGGCATGTAGAGGAGGTGTGAGTTATCAATGCAGGGCATGCATGGAAGAGCGAGTGATAATAATTACATCACTGGATGGGCATGCGCAGTAGGCTTACCCTGTTGTGGTTTCTCCGCCTCTGCACGCCCCATGCATAGTTCGCGCCTACTGCGCATGCCCATCCAGTGATGTAATTATTATCACTCGCTCTTCCCATGCATGCCATGCATTGATAACTCACACCTCCTCTACATGCCCATGCGTATCCCCCACAATAAGAACAAGCTATCCCGCGACAAAAGCATTAGTTGTCTGATGATCGCCTTAGCATTTAGCTACGTGCATGAAACGCAGCGTTACAACCTATGTTTCTATAATTGGTGAAACCATTCTTTTGGCCTTTGTGGTTACGCTCCGCCCCTGTGGTGTTGAGCACTGTTGAAACCTGGGTATACCCACTTATATGTTATATGTATATTCATTGCATTATTAAAATCATCTACTTGCATGAAATTGATGGATCTACGACGACGAACCTGATTCAAGCTTTGGAGACTTTCATTAGGAAACAAAGGAATGTACTGCTTGACAGAATAGAGTTTTGACGAGCATCCCAAGCGGAAGGAGAAGCCTTCGCTATTTTATATACGGCAGTGAAGGAGTTGCACATGGCGTGCACTTTTCAGAACCCCTAGGAGATGAGTTGCCGAGGTTGCAGAGCCAAGGTGGAGGGTTGCAGCCACTGCAAGGTTCTCGTGAATCAGGCGCAATCTGAGACAATGAGGGACAGAATACTGGTGGGAATACGGAATGAAGAAACGCGACACAGGTTGTTGGCAAAGGTAAACATCACTCTGGAGGAGGTTATAGCTATTATGGAAAGCTAAGGAAGCCGCAGCGCAGACACAGTCAAGCATGGAAGAGACATGCCACAATTTACACCTGAATGCAGTGCGAAGATTACAATACAAGAAGGAGAGGTCGGAAACATATCGAGCACAATCCAGAGCAGGCAGACCGTTCAACAAGCAGTCACGGTGCAAACATTGCGCATTACCACATCCAACCGAAAGCAAATACCCTGCAGGAGTATGTCATCAGTGCGGCAAGCTAGGCCATTTCAGGACAGTTTGTTCTCAAAAGGTGTACCACCAACAAAATCCACAGCCAGTTCGGGATCAGGTTGGAAGGATCTCTTTGCAATGTGTGGCTTTGGAAGAAGATACGGTCCCGTTGAGTCATTCTGATAAGGATACTATCAAGGCAGATTTGGTAAGCGAATTTTCAGATGTATTTAATCCCACGAACCTCCCACACATGCACAGCGAACCAATGTAAATCCGCTTGAAGGCTGGCGCTAAGCCTTTCAGAGTTACCGCCTCGTGCACCATACCACATGCATATCGGGAGCAAGTTAGAACCTATATCGAAGAAATGGTACTGAAGGGAATCATTGAGGCAGTTACAGAGCCCTCGGAATGGTGCAGTGAGACGTGTTTAGCAGTCGACCTCACGAAATTGACCGTTCCCCGGCGCGCACCATTCGCGACACACTATCCGATATTGACACTGCACAATATTTCAAGACTCTGGATGCTAGACACGGTTACTGGCAAGTGCCGCTGGCAGAAGAGACTATGAAAGAACGCCCAGTCGTTCCGTTGTGACAGATTCCAGGGCCACGTTGAGGGGCCCTACCCACCACTCATGGCTGTTTCTGGACTTGTTTTAGGTTTGGATCCCGCACACGGACAGAATGGGTACGAAAATGTGAAAAAATTGTAAATGCATTTTTGGGCTCCTGGGTGGCTCCCACACCATGGAACTTTGCCGGAATTTCGAGTTTTTCCGGCCTGGAAAGCCTGTCAGTGAGGCGCAATAACTTTTAAATCATGTCCAGAGGGCCAGCGTAGTGGCAGGAGTGTGTGGTCAAACTTTCACTCCAATCCATTGAGAAACACCAAAGTTACGGTCAATTGAATGCCATATGAAATTTATGGGTAGGCTGCCCCCTTATGGACATCAACAGTAAAATCTCCTAGAATGATGTCATATCGTTTCAATAATAATATATTCACTTCAGGAGTAAGTCATGCTCGATTGTAAGTCGTACCCCCTTCAGCTTTGTTGGCTTATTATTATTACAAGTATTATTAAATTTTGAATAGGGCAGTCCACTGTCCCACAGGCCTAGAGCCTTTTGACAGGCTTCAAGTTTAGTGTAAAAAGGTGCGACATATATTCGGGAAAATACGGTATGCATAAGCTGGAAACGTCATAATGCGG